CTGCTGGCCGCTCACGCTGGCTGCTGGCTACATACGGTAGCCCATGGCAACCCACTGCCACAGGGGCTGCAGCCTACGCCGTCGCCAGCGACTCACAACAGCCCAGCTCCAGGTTGAGCTGCTGTTCAGCATCTTAGCTGTAGAGGGCAATGTCACTGGCCCTCATATGTGGGATCCGAACCGGGGCCCTCTGGCGTCCCAAGCCAGCTCTCAACCATCGCGCCACTCGTCCGGCCCTCATTGGCTTATTTTTATGTTTAGAGTATGTGTCGTCAATAAGTACACCTTTATCTTTTATAAATTTTACAAGTAGTAATATGATTAAACTACCACATTGTACACACTCTAACCAGTAAACCAAAAATAGGATGTTAGAATAAGATGAAAAATAAATATAAATGGGGTTTCAATATTTGTCCCACTCCCCAATAAACCATCTTATTCACTTCCACTTCGGAGACTGTGACTTTGGACCCCACCCGCCCATGTGATGCTGCAGGAAAACTCTGCAGGAGAAGTCTAAGGATAATGGGGTGGGTGCTGAGTGAACTCAGAGCCTAGGAGGAAGAAGCATTGGTGTTGGGGGAGTGGCAGCCTGGCCCGGCCTCTCTTCCAAGGGACAGGACTGCAGGGTGGCACCCCTAGGTCAGAGCTCTCTCCCCGAGGGCAATGCCTCCCCCTTACCTGCAGTTCTGAGCGTTTCTGCCAAGCCCCTTCTTTGACTAGATCCACATGGATTCCTCCCACCTTAATGCCCAGTTACACTCAGGCTGTGCCCTTCCTGCTGGGCTAAGGACATTTTCTCTCTTTTTAAGGACTACAAATGATCTGTATTCAGATTCCACCAACTTTTCCCCATCGTGATAAATTTTTTTTTATGAACAAATGCCCTTCCTTCTGTTTTGAAGGATCTGTTCAGCTTTGTATATTATGGGATAAGCTCGGTGAGGAAAGACATCCAACTTGGTGGTACAGAGTTTGATATGTTAACTTTGAAAATCTAAAAGGACAAGCAAATGACAATAGCAACCATCCTCCTGACAATCCTGGGGATACAAATATTTTCATTACATCTGAGGAGCCCAAGAATCAGGAAGGTCACAGCCTTGATCTACACCACACCTAGTGAGTAAGACAGCGGGAACTTAAATGCGAGTCTGTCTGGCTTCAAATCCACATGTGCTCTTTTCACTGCGGCCACTGCCTCTTCCCAGTGGTGGCAGCAACTAAGTTAAGACAGGATCTTTCACAGGAGTGGAATTGGTAGTGCTATCGTAGTCAGTAATTATAAGCTGACTTCAATACCATAGTTAATTTTTGTAAATACTTGGATTTTTTATTACATATGAATAAAAATGCCCATTACACTAACCAGATACCTAGAATTACAAAATAAAAAATGATTAAACCACTGAAATATCTACTGGTATATAATTATTCACTGCCAAGAGACTTTATATGTTTAAAATAGTCACAAAGAGCAGGAATAATTAAGCTGGCGTTATTCCTCCACTGTTAGATCACCCCTGTGCTTTAGTCACACGGTTAACAAATGTCCCTCCTGATTGGAACTGAAATGCTGATTAAGATTAGTTGGGCTCCAGGGTCAATCATGGGAAACTATAAAATGTCAGTGGGGGTTTTCATTCAACAAGCCCAGAAATTGGCAGTTCACAAAGTCAGAAGCTGGCACGCTGTCCTGGACAGCCTGCCTGGTAACAACGTGACTTCCCTTTGATGCAACTGATTTGATGCAACTGGAAGAAAGTCATGTCGAGGTGACAAACTGTGATTGCTAATGCTTCCTCCCCTAAAATCGACCTGGACAAACGACAGAGCCAGAGGAACACAGACCAGAGGAATGAACAACAAGAACAAGGAGATCCAAAAAATCTAGAAAATCAAAGACTGGCTTAAGTGGTGCCTCAGCTGGCTCCCAAACATTACCCACAGAGCCTGTTGAGACGAAGCTGAGTGTATTGCTCACCGAAGTAAAGGGGAACATCACCTCCCAAAGGTTTGCAGCGTCTCAGAGGGGAGAAGGCACCATCAAATTTTCCTGAACACAAGACTCTGCTGTGCCTGTAACCCGAGCACCCCTGGGAAGATGCACATTTTCCCTGGAAGGTCTGCCTCAGGCCCTGGGACTATAGCGATGGGCCGTTGACTAGGAAGAGGCACCAGAGAACTTTGGGAAGTGGTGAAAATGTTAAACATCTGATTCTGGTAATATACAAGAATGTCTAAACTTGTCCAAATTCATCAAAAGCTACATTTAGGAGCATTATTTGTGTGTAAATTATACCTTAATAAAGCTGGCATTTTGAAAGCGGATGGATGAAACAAGATTGGCCAAATGTGTTAAGTGGTGAAGAGTACATGGAAAATTGTTATTTTATTCTATTTTTATTGGCATTTGAAAATTACTATAATAAAAAGATTTTTTTTAATCAAAAGATACATCATCCAACTTCCCACACTCCACCATCCACAAAGACCCCCCCCCGTGGGATTGAAAACTAAAGGCAGGAACCCCTGACATTTGCATGTTATTTACAAAATATGTTTCACAAGCATTAACTCTTATTCCCACTAGAATCAGGGCAACCATAGATCGTCATTGCACTCTCACATGGGAAGTTCATGGGATCTGTGGGAAGTGACTTGCCCAAGACCACACAGGCGGGGCAGCAGGCGGGGACCTGAGCCCAAGGCTCCTGCCGGAGGCAGGTGTTTCTCCCACAGCACCTGCCTCGAGGTCTCAGGGCCACGGGCACAGCCCCCACGCAGCCAGGCTTCTGCCTGGCACAGCACCTTTCCAGGCTCTCCCGAGCAAGTTTGAAAAGACCTTCCAGCAGGGCAATTCTACCCAGTGGTTAGCAGCCGGGCTTGGAGTGAGCTGCCTGTTAGTTACCATGGTTATGTCTTACTCAGTCCCCCTGGAGCCCCAAACAAGAAGCTAACACAGAGGGAGAAGTCCCGGGCTGGGTCAGACATGCGCGGCTGTTTGCAGAACGTGACGATTGTCTCCAGTTGCTGAGAAGGACTTTACTCGGAAATGGTTACCTACCTATGTGTCCAAGGAACACCGTTTCCTGGCATCCCGAGCCCCAGCCACGTGTCTGGCCATCTCTCCAGCTCAGAGTTCATAACGTGGCTATGAGGATGACATGAGTTAGCTCCATCATGTGCCTTCAGTAAGCACAGTAGTGAGTTCCTGCCATCCCTCAAGACAAACCAAAAGCATAATGATAAAAACAAAGAAACTAGTGAGAAAAGACCTGGGCCTGAGCCACCCAAGGCTGTTCCGAACCCGAGGAACGGCCCTGTCACCCTCCTTCCATCTGCAAGGATCTCTGAGAACAGGAGACCCTTGTTCTAAGCTTTCCTAAAGCTCTCCCAGCCCTGCAGGGCTGGACCTGCTCCCTGTCCCTCAGTGCTCTCATCCCCCACCCAGGCACAGAGGCTACATTCTGTGATCACCGGGGACAGGAGACTGACAGTGACAGGATGACGCCATTGCAATTCACACTGATTTGCCCAGGAACCCTCCACCCCCACCCTTGCCTGAAGAAAAACCTGGTCCCCGTCATGTTGTTCTTTATTGCACAGTAATTGCTAGTCTACCTGGTGCCAGGCACAGCGCCAGGGGTACTGTCTTCCTAGACTTTGAGCCCCAGCATTGCCAAAACGCTGTATGAATAGTTCCCCGAACACGCTGTGTTTGCAGGAGCTGCTTCAGGGGTCGGAAACATCTTTCCACAGCTTCCACAAGACTGACTCCTTCTCGTGCTACAAGACCCGGCTCAGAAGTCTGCCAATTGCCCAGCACTCGGTTGGGTGGCCCTCAGCCTGGCTTTTTCCCTCTAGTTGGGGGCACTTCCCCCAAGAAAGCTGTTTGCTAGGGTATCTCCTCCACTCAACCGTGAGACCTCAGAGGAAGAGCCTAGACCTGACTCACTCTTGCATCTCCCAAGCCCAGCACACAGTAGTCCTTTGGTACTTACCCAGAGAGGGAATTCCACAGAGAGGCCTGACGGCAGCCTCTGCCTCAGAGACCAGCTCACCGTTCATCTGCTGTACTGAAAGCTGGTGTTAATAGACCAAAATCACGCATCAGATGGGTTAAAAGCTCTCCCTGAGGCATGCGAGGTGCTGGAAGGGAGTGCCCAACAGGGGATGGCAGCCTTGGGGGTCTGATACCCTCCCCCATTTTCACACCAATGATGTGAGAGGGGCCACAGGGGAAGGGAAAGGAGGCCCTAGGAGAGTTGTCTTAGGAGAGCGTATGACCCCACAGGAAAGTCTTAAGAACATTTAGTGATGTTTGATTTAAAAGGTGGCAAAAGGGTGGCAAAATTTCCAGCTCATTTCCCCTGCTGGGAACCCACTCTTACCCTGTTCCCCCCCAGTTAACTCTGAATTCCCAGAGATGACCCTGGCAAAGCAACTAAGTTCTTTAACTGTAATAAACGCCTGCTATCGACTACCTGAAATTTTAGATAAAAGGAGGGTAATTTTTACCAATCTCCTGAGTACCTTGAAGTAGGAAATTGGCTGACAAAACCCTGCAGACATTCTAGAACACCGTGTTCCTGTATAATTTGGTCTCGTGTTCTAGAACACTTACCCCTGTTGAGAAGACACTGTTGCTAAGATACGACCAAAGAGTAAACAGCCTGATTTCTATTATCGTTCCATAGAATCGCAGCCTCTGTCATTTTATTAAAACAGCTCCACGAAGGGTGCCTATGACCTGCTAATCATTTCATCTAAAGAACACTCCCTAGTCCCTCCCTTCCCAGACCTGTCACTCACAGACCTGGGAGTTTATTTCCGTGACCTCCAGAATAGTCCTTGCGTCTCTGCTCCTTCCGTGCCTCTCCCCTCAGCCTACCCCTTGAATATGACTCATCCCCAGGCTTCTCCCCCAGAGCCCGGATAAGGTGAGGCAAGGTGAGAACCAGGCAGCAATATTTAGGGAGGCCCTACCTCTCAAGATGGGGGAGTGCAAGGCCCATGCTGAAAGAGAGGGCTTCCTGCAGTTTTGCGTCCCAGGCCCCTGGCTGGTGTCTTCCCTCCTCTGCCATCTCCCCAGGCACACGGCTCAGGCTGCCCCATTAGTGCACAGGCCTCAGCTTCCACATGGAATGGGACGCCCCCTAGAGCTTCGCCCCAGCCTCAGGCCCACGTATCCACCTTCCTTCTGGGTGTCTCCACCCTGATGCCCCCGGCTCCTCCATAGCACACCCCACCTATCTTCCCAGGAAACCCCATCCCCTACCTCAGTTGATAAGGTCACCTTCATCCCTCAGGTACCCAAGGTACACAAGCAGTGTTACCCCACACACATCTGGTCAGGCTGACTTTACCTCCTAAGGTATCGCTCTAGATCATCGCTTCCTCGCCACCCCACCATGACTGCCTGCCATTAGACCTTGTAGCTCTCTCCCGGACTGCTGTAACCATCACCTATTCCTGCTCCCTGCCTCTGGGTGCATTACCCACCTGGGCCATTTACCGGGACTCGCATCACTCATGTGCTTAATATCCATGTGCACAGGAATCTGTGTGTAGAATTGGTTCCCCTCCATGGAGGACGACTTGGCGATATTGATGAAAATTATAAACGTCTATGCCTTGTGACTCAGCAATTCCACGTCAGGAAACTCATTTGGAATGGCAAGAAACTGGAAACAGTCACAGTGCCCATCCAACAGGGCAAATATTGACAACAACATGCTGCATCATGGAACACTGTAAAGACAACAAAAAGACCGAAGCTGCTCTCTGCATACTAATCAGGATGACTTACAGGCACAGAAATAAAAGGCCAGGGTCACCCCAGTTGTAGCATGTACTACCTGCTGTGCCCAAAGGGGGATGTGTACATACATGTTCTTATATTCAGATTCTCTGGAAGAAAGCACTAGAATGGGGACAGTGACTGCTCTCCAGGAGAGGAACTCGGGGTAAAGGCAAGAGGGAACTTACTTGTCACTGTATACTTTTTGCACCATCTGATTTCTTTACGTTGAGCATGTTTGATGTTTTCAAATAAAAATACATTCCATCTGTCTTGGGCACCACAGCCAGTAACCTTTCTGAAGTGCAAATGTGATCATGTCACACCCCATACTTCAAGCTCTTCAGGGCTCTCTAGGACAGGGTACCTGGGACGGTCACCATTTATGCTTGTTATGGAGCAATTAACACCTGTTAATTATAGAGCAATTAGCCCCTGTTCACTCTCAAAAACATCCTGGGATGGACTACAAAGCATTGCCTCACTCCATCAGTGACCCTAGAGATACAGTCCACCCTAAGGATCATTTAACACCTCAGAGCCTGAAACTCACTTTTACTCTAGATCAGGATGCTGCAGGTCTGATGTCACGGGAGTGTCCACAGCTCAGGTGTAGGATGAGAGTGCCTTAAAGAGTGTGACCATCTGTAATTGAACTACGGGGGCCTTGGTTTATATTTGCTCCGTGGGAGAGGCTGTTAGAAAAGAGGGTTAGCTCCCCTCTCTCACTCCATTAGTGATAAAAATAATTTGAATTTGTCAAAGAGAGAGAAAATAAAGTCTGGTTTAATGAGTTCTTAGTGCTGGGAAAGAGCCTAGTATTTGGTTACTGAAAAAGATGAAACTCGACCTCCCCGGAGGTCAGCAGATTTAGGTGTGTCTTCAGCTGAGTTGTGTACACGTGCCCTTTCAGCCGTAACTTGAATCCCTGAGACAGAGGATGACCTTATAAATCATCGCCTCTCCAACACTGGTGAGAGCAACCACAGCGCCCCCTGTTGGCGGCCCCACAGCACATCATCCTTGCCCTAGTCCCCACCCCCTTCTCCCACACGGTAGGATTCGGGTTTCTGGATCAGAAAACTGACCCTGAGGCCCAGGACGCCACTGCTATTCAAAGTGTCCTGTTGAATTCTGCCTGGTTGGTTTTGGTGGGTATGGTGTCCCTCTAAAAAGGGTCCCTCAGAAGCACCCTCAGCGGCAATGCTGCCTGGTGAGAGGGGGGAACCTGAGCTTGGTACCCAATGGTGTTGAGTACAGATGAGGGGCACAGAGAGGAGAAGGGGTGTGGATTCCGGACTCACCCTAAGCATTCTTTACCTATAAGGGGTTTGAATTTTAGGGTCTCATAAGTTCTACTTACAGTAAAAGAAGATGATTTCTCCATCCCCGTGTACCAGAAAGGTCGGGTTTGAGAAACTGAGGACGACGTCCTATTCTAGGCTAACTTCTCATCCAAGCAACTCAGTCCTAGAGTTAAAGTTCTTTAAAGCGACAGGCATTTCTCTTCTACCCCTGTCCCCTGAGGGCAAGGATATACCAACAGTGATAAGAGTCACCACATCTTGGATGTGGACACACCCTAGGGACTGCTCCTGTCCATATGGCCCCCAGACACTGTCCGTGTGTGTTAGTCCCTGGGGCCACTGTAACAAAGTACCACAGACTGAGTGGCTTAAACAACGGAGATTGATTGTCTCATAGTTCTGGAGGCTGGAAGTCTGAGATCATGGTGTTGGTAGGGTTGGTTCCTTCTGAGGGTCCCTTTTTATGAGGATACCAGTCATATTGGATCAGGGACCCACCTCCTGCAGTATGACCTCATCTTAACTAATTACTTCTGCAATGACCCTATTTCCAAATAAGTTCGTATTCACAGAAACTGGAGTTTAGGACTTTGACATGTGAATTTGGGGTACACAATTTAACCCACACACCCTGCTTGTGAGTTTCTGTTTTCAACCATAGAATGCACAGGTTGGACAGCAGGGCTGACCTCCGGAAGTCCCCCTTGCCATCCACCACTCGTGGGTTCCCCAAGTCAGTCTCACCTCTCTATGGCAACTGGACCAAAGAGGGAGACCCTGTTCCCTTCATGGGGAAAAGTCTCAGGATTGCTTATAATGGGGAGCACCACCCCCAAAATGCCAGATTTTTAGGATGTTGCTTCTTGATCTTGCCCCGCCTCAAGGTGAGACTTAGGCAAGGTGAAGTCTGAAGCAAGATTTTGTTTCCAGCCATTGTTGTCATTGTCCATATTGACAAATAGCCATTGTCGTTTATTGCAGAACCCTAAGGAGTTCTATCACAGAGAACCAGCCAAAGGGGGAGGAAACAGGACAGGGCTCAAGTAACACACATACCTCAGTTGGCACCTGGATCATCTCAGGCACGAGCAGCTCCTTAGTTTCCAAGAGGGATTGTGGCCATTGCTTCATCTGAGGGCGGAAGAAAGGTGACACTCAGAGGTGGAACCAAGGCCAGCGCTTCGCACCAATTCCTCATGGGCCAAGATTCCTTCAGGAAAACATTTTCTTGATTTCGCTCACAAACATGTATTTCCGTGCAGGAGTCCTACTTCCTGTCCCCCCCCCCCCCCCCACTAGGGCCTCCAGGGCCTCCACACTAACTTCCGCCTTCCCTGCAGCGACACCTGGTGGACATTGCCTGCCTCGCCAGCTCCTCTCCTGGAATCTTCCATCAGCCAGACAGCCGTGGGCTTCTGGAGAGGGCTGAGAAAGTGGAACTGAAGGAAATAAGCCCACGAATGCAGCCAGACAGTGATAGAGCGAAAATGGACTCACGATGAATCATTGCAAGCAAGTATGGTCAGCAGCACAGGCCCTGGAGTCCCATGGAGTTGGTTATGTCGCCCACCTTAGTCACCTTCCAGCCCTGTGACCCTGGAGTAGTCCCAGAATCTCTACGCCATCTCATGTCTAAAATAAAAATAACTCTTCTCGGCTCACAGACTGAGGGTTACATGAGATAATTCAGATAAAGCGTGAAGTGGTAGCTAACCAATATAAGCACCAGTAAACACAGAAGTATTGGTAATTCCTTTGTTGTTGCCCCACTCCAACCCCAGACACTCATAAAACACACACTATAAAATTCATTCATGCAACAAACATTTTCTGAATGTCCACTGTGTGCCAGGCGCTAAATGTCCAAAGGGAAGGGAAGAGACCTACCTCTTTGTGTTTATAACCATAAGGACCAGGATTCTCCACAGGGGCCCGACACCCTCACCCAATCAACTGTTTACTGAGCACCTAGTTAGCCCAGGCCCAACAAGACCCCACCCCTCAGAGTCCCAGTCTGCAGGAGTAGATGGACGCATGGGGCAGAACCACAGGGTGGCCCCTGTCAGAGGTCTGTACCTGGCCCCAGGGAGGGAGGGAGGCCTCTCAGAGGAGAAGCCCCACAAATCTAGAAGGTTCCAGAATGTTCCCTTTCCACTGAGAGTCTTTTTCTCTCCAAAGCACACTGCTGCAGGCAGCATCCATGGCCCACATAGCAATAGAGCTTCCCTTTGATCCAGCTTAAGATTTTTGCCATTTTAATCTCTGCTCAGAAGTGGAGCCTGAATGAAGAGGGGGTTACTCCCTCTCCTTTTGAAATTGCGTGGCTGCTGCCACCAGAGAAAAGATAAAAATTCACTGGGGATTTTTCTTCAGATCTGCATTGTACTCGCCGTATAAGCTGTTGGGATTTTGCAACCGAATTTAGAAAATTTGTAATGTCAGGTTGAAAAGTTCTTCAGAACTTTGAGGGAGTAAGGCAGGTAGAGGAATTTATTTTAGAATTCCGTTTCCCTGTGGCATCATCAAACAATAAGTGAAACATAGAGAAGCACTGGAGAGGACTGGGGGAAAAGAAAGATTTCCTACAATGAGTGCCCACAACTTCTGATAATCAGATGCTGGCTGCCCCTCCAATATCCTGGTGCCCAGAGCTCTGCTTCCAGACACTTTGTAGCTTCTAGCCCTGGGGACATCACTAAACCTTTCCAGCCTTGATTTCTATATCCACTTACTTCATCAATATCATTGGAGAGCCTGATGTGTGCCAGGCCCTGCCCTTTGGGAGCTCCAATCTGTCATCAGTGTGGGGATTTAATGGACCTAAAAGGCCTGTACCAAGCACACAGGCATACAGGAAACTTCTCAGAAGGGGCTCAGAAGTGTTCTGGGCAGACTTCCACCCTGTTTAAGTGGCAGAAATCAGGGAATGGGCCCCCTGAGGGCTCATGAAGTCCCAGGGCTACTCCCCTTTTCTGTGATGTTTATCACCCATATGTAGGACTGACTGAACCCCCTCCCCTCTCCCCCAGTGACGGTGGGGTTCATGTGAGCTCAGAGAAATAGCAGCAGAGAAGAAGCCCTGAGACCCAGCTTCCCAGCTATCCTTGTCCCAGGAATTCCAAAGAGGGGGAAGGTGGTGGTAGCTATGATGAGCAGGGCGGGGAGAAGCGGGGGAAGGTAGGTGGTAGAGGAAAGCGGACCGTAAATATCAGGGTCCTGTCCTCAGGCAGGAGCCAGCCTGGGCCGGTTTGGGTCTGGAGGCCAAACTAATGAATGCACCTTCCAGAAAGCTGCTCTGACCTCCAGCGGGTTGGGCTGGGTGGACTGCAACCTCAACTGTGATCAGAAGGCTGCTTGTGGTACCTGAATCAGCACCTGGTGACACGTCCCATCCAGGCCGTAGAGAGGCTTGGCAAGGATCTATGCCTGCCCAGCGTATAGGGCTGTCAGATAAAACATAGTACTTGCAGCTGGAAGTAAAGAGGCTGTAACCACCGTGGCAGAAGAAGCTTCAGTCAAGAAGGAATTGAGCACTTTCTGCCCAGGCAGCATGACCAATGCAGTGTATTCCTAACAAGCTGAGTGACTGCAGAGAGGGAATGGCCCTTGGAAATCAAGTCAAAAGATTGGTACCATTTACACGGACTACAATAAACGGGGTCCCTGGAGTTGGGCAAAGCTGTGATCCTGGCCACAAGGTCCAGGAAAAGCTAATTGGGTGGGGAGGGGTGGCGAATGGTCACAGAGCCAATTAACACGAAGCCTGTCTGTCCAGCTTCAAATCTAATAATACTCACAATACTCATTCCAGTGCAGTAAATTCATCTGTTTCCAAGTAGCAAGTATGAATCTAACCCAAGTTGACTGGGAGTAAAAGGGATCCCAGGAAGAAAGAAACTGGGGTGAGGGATTGTTCCAGCGGGAGTTTGAAGCAGAGTGAAGTATCCTCCACTTCCCCAAGAGTCCTCCGACTTGAGCAAGGTGGGAAGGACCACCTCATAGCTCAGGACAGTGAGAGGCTGGTGCCTATATAGAAAGGAGCCATTACTGACTAGAAGAAGGGGGCCCAGAGCTAGTTGGGGCACAGGGAATGAGATATTCTCCTGAAGGGCTGCTCTGAGGGGTCTGTGCCCAGAGGAGACCATTTGCCTCTTGAAACAACCAGTGAACACAGGTAGTGCTGGTTGGAACTGGGTTCTAGTCTGTTCTGCGAAGGCAGATTGCAGATGTGCTCAGGGGCACAGCCACTCCCTCTCTTGAGGCCTCGGCTGCTGGAGCAGGGGGTAACTAGAGGACCCAAAAGGGCAGTGCGGCTAAGCTGTAGCCTTTAAATTGAGGCAACATTCTGAATATTTCTTTGTACTAATTTCTCCCTTTAACTGAATTTAGATGCCTTTTACAAAATTTCTTTGCCTCCATTGGGCTGCATTTGGGGTTTTAGAGTGAGCTCATGGATGCTCCTTAGAGAAAACAATCTAGAGTCATCTGCAGTGTCTTGAAATATGCTCCCTGGGTCCTGCAAACGGGAAAATGGATTGTAACGGGCGGGAGCGGGGACTTGGAGCCCCCTGGTGGTCCTTCTGAGTCCACTCCGTGCTGTAACCACGCTCCCCAGGAAAGATTAAGTGGACTTCGGCCTTGAACCGGAATTCGTCCGTGGCAATCTTGTAAATCTACCATGTTACACCAACGCAAACAAAATTATCCAGCCAAAACAAACGGAGAACTGAGCTCTGTGGCATTTCATTCACTTATACGTTTATTTATTGGAATGTTCATTCATTTATGTCCCAGGTCCCTGCTAGGAGCTGAGAGTGTAGACATGACCGAGTCAAGGTCCTTCAAGTTGCTCCTGGAGCCCAAGAGGAAACGGACACAGACGAACCACATTCTATACGTTGTGGTGAGAAGTCGGAGGCATAGAACGCAGGTGGAGCCTGGAGCAGTCCCTCACACACTCCCTGGGAGCAGGTGTGGGGTAGCTCCTGGAAGGAACGACCCTGGGCTTATACTTAGAAGGTGAATGGGAGCCAGCCAAGGTTAGGATGGGGGCGGGCATTCTAGGGAGGGACAGCCAGAGAGGAGGGCTTCCTAGGAGACTAGCACCCAGGTGGCTGGAGCATGGAGGGTGGGGCTAAGGCATTTGGACGTCACAGTGCAGCCGCTGGAGCCACTGACGTTTGATTTGTGCCACTGTAGGAGCCTGGAAGGACCATTTGGCTGGCCTCTAATTCTCAAAGGAGTCCGATATCAAATTTTAGAAGTTATCTCCAAATGAGATTCAATATTTAGTCACGGTAGAAAAAAATGCCATATTCATGAAACTACTTTGAACTTGTTTCCCATTGCCAGGTCATACTACTGGAATGTACTATATTAAAAAAATATTTTTTTAATTCTACAATTATCTTATGACTAGTACAATTGGATAGCATTACATTTTTTAAATTAAAGCATTAATTGTGTTAAAAGTAAACGTGTAAAATTCATCATAACCTTGTAATCCTGCTTTGACATGTCTCATGTTTAGTATGCCAAAAAATAAAATAAGACAGGGGCCTGGCCTCTCTCAACCTTTGGAAAGTTTTGGAAAGCTCTAGAAAGTTCTGAGGAAGGATGGAATACAACCCAAAGGAAGTGAAGCAAAGAGGCTCTTAAAATAGTTCAGACAAGATGCTGAAATCTGAGCTAGGCCAGGATCTGTGTGACTGGAGAGGAGAAATGCAATTTAGGTTTCAAATTTGATAGGAGTTGGTGATCGATTGTATGAAAGGGAAAAAAAATTGTTTATAACTCCCTGTGTCTGCTAATGAGGGCAGATCCTGGAAACTACAGGATCTCTTGTTTGGAGAGCAGAAAGTCAACACCTTTTGCATTATGGCTTTTGGCAAAGTTATGGGCAGTGTCAGGCACAGCAGGTGTGGGGATGAGAGCTTGTAAGAGCGGGATGGAGTCAAACTGCTCCACCAAGAAAGGAAAGAGTGATGTGGAGCATGGACATTGCAGAGGCTGCAGGAGCCAGTGGTCCTGGGTGCTGCCTGGAGGGTCCCCAACAGGATGAGGCTCTGGGTACCAGGTAGCCAAGAAGATACCTGGGAGAGATTTGGTTCAGTCAGAAGCAAAGCTGTGGGGAGTATGGAGACCTGCTGAGTTAGGCACAGCCATGGACACTACCTGGGGGGCTTGGCCCCAGGAGACAGGAGCAGGGGGGTCCAGGATGAGTCCTCAGTTTCTGCCTCTGATGACCTGGCCCCTGAAAACAGAATTCCTGAGGAG